TCAAAATCAACAATAACCATACAAAAAAGCAAACATACCCACCTGCAATAAAAAGTACAAAAAAACTAATATGATAAAAATCAATAGGACTTACCTAAATGTTGAGATAAGACAGTGAAATTCCTCCTCCAGTCCTCAGTAACACATGAGTAGTATCTTAACGTGATATCGTGGTACTGTTGTATATAGGCGACGGTTACCATCAGGTGCATCATCGTATCCTATACCATTTCAGTCAAAAAGTATAGGATGCTGGAATCCTAATAATAATAATAATTTTTATTTGTCTCAAACAAAACTATTCACACCATACAACTGTTGCCCATACAATAATATAATTTAAAACTAATGAATGAGACAAAACGGTCTATAACTCAGTGAGGGCAGTGAGTCCACCCTGTCTGCTATTCTGTTATAGCCTTTATCAGTAAAATAATACAATATGAGATCGACGACGACGATAGTATATTAAGTTAAGTTCTAAACTACAACTAACAAAGTAAACATCAAAATTGACAATAACAAACTTAAATATATATAATCCAAACATTATTCAGGATTAGTTACAACATTAAATAAAAACGAAGAATTATTCAGGATTATTTTATCATATATACCATCAGACGCAGACTTGCGCGTACACACACATATCAACACAACCTAGTAGATTACAATACTACGAAACGAGGGATTGTTCTTGCAGTAACCATTTGCTACATTTGCGCCTAAATATTGGTAAGGACAGTAAGGATAAAATCAGTGATGAACGAACTGGCGGGGGCAAGTCGTTACAAATTTTTGCTGCAGCATACTTAAAACAACCCCTAGTTTTTGTGAGCTTGATGAAAGGTTTAAAAAACTGATGACATGAAATATTCGATACAAAGTAATATTATCTTATCTGTGGTTCAATTAAGAAAATAATCGACCAATATCTTTTATTTGCACCACAATGAAAAGTAAATTGTGGGATAAATTTCTGAATCTAGAACTGGTGTCGACTAAAAACGATTAAGCCGGTGGTTGTAGAAACTGTAATACATTTTATATGAATGAAAGTTGCTTCGGATCGCTGCTGATAGCACTTTTGGGGATTAAATCTATCTTACCTAAGTGCAATACCAAGTAATTCGTGAGTGACCTCGTTGGGCAAATTTCGTGACCAATCTACAGACATCTAGTTCTAGATCTAATCTATGCTTGCAGGGTTTAACTTTAAAATTTATACTTTGATTATATTTTAGAACTATAGTGTAATTCTGTGGAGTTTTTGTGTTGCCTTACCGGCAACACAAAAACTCTCCTATATCTAAACGCCATTCTATAAAGAAATTGTTATTTATAGGATGAATATCTGACCACATGCTCATCTTATCATCGGGAGATGACCAGTAGGAACTGGTCTCAGCCAGCGTATATAAGAAATACATTCATGTTTATGCTCACAAGCTTCTTCATCTTCTTGTGATGGAACATCTTACCGTATATACGGTAGATATAATTTTTTTTTTTTTTTTTAATTTTAATTTTTTTTTTATTTTATTTTTTCTCAGGACAATTCACACACCGCCATCTAGACCCACGTTAAGCTACCTAAAGCTTGTGTTATGGGTACTAGATAACTGATACAAGTACATAGATATTTTTTTTTTCGTAAATACATACATATTATACATGGAAAACACCCAGACCGATACAAACAATCATACTCATGAATACAAATGTTTGTGCCGTGCGAGGAATCGAACCCGCGACCATCGGACGTAAAGCGGTGTGCTAGACCGCTATACCACCGAGGTCGTCAAATAATTAGGTACTGATCAAAAGTTTATGTTTATTTAAATATAAATAATTTTCTATTCTTTTCATGGATACCTATCACTGCTATATTGACACCCCTCCGGTCGATCCCCCGTCCAATTCAAACGGGGATCGAAATTACGACGGCCTGAGCCGAGGTTCGAACCCCTAGTGGTGCCCTCAGACTAAAGTCGTATCCGTCGGGCAGGAGTTGGCCTTCAGCCGCTCCATAAGTCCTTCCGCGGGTTTGGAGTGCCATCTGCACTCGTCCCATAACGTCCGGTGAAGCTGTAAAGGCCAGCTACGGCCAACAGCATTAGAGTAGTCCGAAAAAAAAAAAAAAAGCTATATTGACTTTCGGCTTGGTATGCTTACATACCTTTTACGACACACAATCATTACAGAGTATAAAACAAAGTCGCCGTCGCTGTCTGTCTGTCCCTATGGATGCTTAAATCTTTAAAACTACGCAACGTATTTTTAAGCGGTTTTTCTTAATCGATAGAGTAGTTCTAGAGGAACTTTTATAAGTATAATATATTTACCCCCGGGCTAAGCGGGGGCGAGTTCTCTTATAAAATTACGATTATTAAATTACGATTCGATTAAGTTTGAACATTATTAAGGCTCTATTGTCAAAGACTACACTTCTATGCGTGTTTGTCAAATATGTGTAGTTTTTTATTTATGTATTTTTTATTGCATAATTAAAAAAAAATAGTATTCTCCACTACTTTATATAAACTATACGTGTGCGTTTCACATTCCTCACAGTCCACGCAATTTTCGTAGAAAGCAGTACAAAGTTTTTGCTTCACGTATTAATATTATGATTATAATAATCTCTTGATGTAGAAAATAATTCGGTTGGTGTGCACCGTTCCTACTTCATAATTACGTGGAGTCCATTGTACGACGCCTTATGATCACGCCACGTCTAATCTGACTACCAGATCACGTCTTAACTAGTTAATCTACTCGGATTTGTCTAACCGTACAATCAGGAATTCCACAACAAATCTTGAGTTTTAGCAATTAGCATGTAAATTTGAGAAGTTCGCGAAATAATTTAAAGCGGTGAATTCAAAACAATTTATATGTTAATCCAGTAGGTATGAACTGCACAGAGGATTAGGTACTCTTGACATCACCAGAACCATAGCGCGGCGCAGCGCCAACGAGTAATCGTACGTAATAAACTACCTATATTTGTAGGTACCACGTATTTGTAGTTATGTTCTTCTCGGTGGATATGATTATGATATGATATATTTACTTTACTCTTTGAGTTACATGTTGTCAACACACTTGCTCGTAAAGAGGACCTAATTTCGATATATAAGCAAATAGTGAAGTTATATACAATATCCGGCGCTATTTGTTATTTTTCAAATTTCGAACTGTCCGACACGACGCGCGGCACCAGTCAGTAGGCAGCGCGCTGATTTAAAAAAATAGAACGGCGGAAAAGCAACAGTGTGCATCACAGTTTTATGGTTGAGTTTATTTAAAATTAAGGGTGTTGAAAAACGAAGCACCATATACGTGCGAATTTAACACACTCGGCTCTCCACTTGCCTTCAGTTAGGGCTAAATTCCTACTTCGTGCATTATAACCATTATAACGCACTTATATCATAGTGTACTATTATGTAATTGCAATTTGTATGTAACTGCAGGCACACCTAGAGATATATGCAACAGCACCGTATATATGCAACCGCGTTACCTACATCATAAGGAGGCATGAAGAATGCCCGGCGTCACCATGCCGCAATCGTAGTAACCTCACGCGTTGCTATTTTAAAGGAATTATGTTATGCCTCCGTACCTTGTAATTTCTCTGTCATCTAAACCTCTGACCGAAACACTACTTACAAATATTATTGATTAGCGGTTACGGTTATATTTACATATATCAGTTGTCTAGTACATATAACACAAGCTCTGCTTATCTTTGGACTAGATGGCGCTGTGTGAATTGGTATTTGGTCCTGAGATATTATTATTATGTACGTACGAAGCTAGTCAATGCACAATCACTTGAACATTAACTTGTGCGAAGTTTACAATCTTGTTCACTAAGATTCCACAGTGAATCAATTGTGGAGCTTTGAATCTCGTTAATCGGTTCTGATTCAGTGTCCTCCATTGTGGATTCAAATGAACTATATTTTAAGCGCATTATTAGTGTGTTACTTATTGTTTAATACTCTTCTGTAACTGTAGATATTATTACAGGCAGTATTTGCGTCGAACAATCTAGAACTTCTGTTGTACTTGTATAGTTACGCATTTTATGTCTGCATACATATAAAATATCGCCTTCGTTGGTACATCTACTTTCTTTTCTCTTTTTTTGGAATTTTTTGTACACAAAATGTGGCGATGAGAAGTTCATCGTACCTATACTAAATAACTAAAAAAAGAAAATCAACTTAAATTAATGTGCTATCGGTCAGAACAATAACTTGACTGCATCTTCGTTGAATCTATATTGCGGTTAATTGTCAATTGATTTACCTTTTCGTGGAAAAGATAAAATGAATAATCTAATTAATTTTATCTAAAGTTACACGTTAGTAATGAGTAATAGGGGCTGCCGAAAACCAGCGCTGTGTAGGTGCCCTCATTGAGGTTGTGATATCAGCAACAGCTGAGCCAATTCTCAATTCTCCTATTGCCAACTTTGTATGTTTTTTCTTTTTATTTTGTGTATTATTTGTAATTTGTTTATTGTTGTCAATAAATGTTTAATCTATAAAAAAACCTTTTAATAATTAGTGTTATCTATACATCTATATGTACATATAAATAAAATTGGAGTGCCTGTTTGTAATATTGAAATATATTCAATACGGCACACCAAAATAACATTTTTTACAATTTTTGTCTGTCTGTCTGTTTGTTTGTTCCAGCTAATCTCTAAAATGGTTGGAACGAATTTGACGGGACTTTTTTTGGCAGGTAGCTGATGTAATAAAGAGTAACTTAGACTACTTTTATTTTCGAAAAATAAAGTTTAATTCCACGCAGAAGTGGCGCGTACAGCTAGTTAGTAATAAAAATATATCGGTACTTCATCTAATTTCTTTTTTGTTAATCTTTATGTTACATCCGTTGCACTAAGTGTGATAGTTTCCTCCGGGACTAGTGTACACACATTTATATATTTTAGACAATTCTTATAATCGAATGTTCTAATTAGTTTCGCTCAATAATGTGAAGAAGCTGTAACTTCCTCGCAGAATCTGTAAAAATCAAACATAGTTTCTTAAAATACTTAGAAATAGTCAACTGAGATATAGCATCATCATACACATAACACAAGGTCTGCTTAGCTCTCTTAGCTTTAGATGGCGGTCAGTCATTGTTAAGGGCTGTTATTATTATTATTATTATTCTCATTGTTGTGTTATTTTCTTAGCTTTTGCTGGTTTTTTTACGGTTAGTGGCGTATACTACACTTACGGGCAGAAACCAAGTAGGTGCTGTAGTGTGTGTGAATGTGCGTACTTATTCACTTACGGGCCGAAACAAAGTAAGTGGAGTTTGTGTGTGTGTGTGTGTGTGAGAGAGTGAATGTGTGTGTACTTATTGTGAGCCTTTTCATTTATGTGACTTTTGTTATGTCATTTTCATCTAATTTCAGGAATTCTCGGACTACATGTATTAAAATTGGCAGTCTTTTGAAGGGTGATGTAGATTGTTTTTTGGAAATTTAATTGTTTCAGACTATGTAGGTGATTAGATATATTACCTGTGGATGAGAGGACTATCAGTATTATATAATTTTTTCCTGTTTTGTTACTATCATTACATTTGATACACAATTGATCTACGTTTTGAATGTTATATCTACTCACCGAGATGAAAGTTGCGAGCGACATCACATTGAATGGTCCAGCTTTGAAAACGAATATCTTTGTAGTTGTTAGACCAAGTAAGGCTACTTCTTTTTGCAATTTCTTGTCAGAATCCACCCAATCACTCTCGAAAGTTCCATAGCTTACTAATTTACTCTAAAAACGTAAGTAGATGCAATAAGACAATTATTTACGGAAGAAACCGCTTTAACTATCACTATAACTAATTATATATGGCTTCGGTGGCCTATCGGTTTAGCTCACCGCTTTACTTCCGATGGTCGCGGGTTCGATTCCTCGCACGGTGCAAACGTTTGTATTCATGAGTATGATTGTTTGTATCAGTCTGGTTATTTTGTATGTATATTACGTATGTATTTACAGAACACAATATCTAAGTATTCATATCAACTGTTTAGTACCCTAAACACAAGCTCTGCTTACCGTGGGTCTAGATGGCGCTGTGACAGAAGCTTGTTTGTAATAAGTATTTCTATTGAAAGATGATATATTGCTGTAAAATTTTATTATTCGAAGGCAATTGTTTTATCATTAGCTTGCTTTGTAAGATCTATTTATATTGAAGGTTAATATTGCTTAATAATTACTGGATAAGTAGGCATAAAGTTAGTTCTCCGGGATGGCAATGCACGAATGGTACTTCGGGGGTTACAAGATAACGTGCGCTGTTCATGTATGTAGACGATTGATACTCCAGCACCAAGTGGTTCCTCAACTTGTTTGTCATTCCGAGCACTCACTTCACATACTTTGTGTATTCATCAGGGTGGTTACCTTCTCAAAGGCCGGCAACGCACTTGTCTTTTATGTTACGGGTGCTCTTGGGCGGCGGTAATCACTTACTATCAGGTGAGCCGCTATTCGCTATAAATATGCTATAAAAAAGCTATTGCTTTAGCCGTAGTTGGTTTATACCTCATTAGATAAGAATTTTAGATAGATAAGAATTTTATTTCTTTTTTAGTACACATATGGGTTCAATGACAAACAGTGTACATTTAAACCAATACGATCAAATATGGGTAAAACTGCAAGTGTGTGCCACAGCAAAAAAATTAGCACATAGATGAGTGTGGAGAATCACTTAAAAAGCCAAACGCTGATGTTCAGTATGACGGAGAGGTCACCCTCTCTTTCCATTACCTCTTCTACTATTAAAAAAAAAATCTGAATTATAACTTGAAATTATAGCGACCAATGAAACCTGAGGTGCCAGAATTTTATAATTATTCAGAATACTACACTGTAATTAGATATGTATATGTATAAATAGGTATGAAAATTAATAAAAAAAATACTAGTATAACGTATAAAAAATTAATTATTTGGAATGACACATCCTTATGAACGGCAACACGTAAGGTACTCGTTGCTACTTTTCATCGGATCGGTCGACAGATGGCTTGCCTGTATAGAAACTGCAACTTAGCGAGTATTAAGAAACATCATATTTAACTAGCTGTGCCTCCGGTTTCATCCGAGTGAAACCTATATCTTTATATTACTCGCTAAGTCTGTTGTATAAGCTAAAGTATTGTAAAGTCTCATTAAAATCTATTCAGTAGTTTTAGCGTGAAAGACTAACAAAGATTCATCCATACTCCCTGCGCGTTTGCAATATTAATAAGATATCAACAAGATTTTATTATAACAGATTTAACCTCTTCCGTGACTTCATTGGCATGCCAGTAGAACAGAAGCAGCTGTATCAAACAGGCAAGAACGAACTCGCAACTGGATATCAGTGTCCCCAAGTCATCTTCTATCTGCAATTAATATATTTATTATTCAGTACCGGCCCGCTCCGGCTTTGCACGAGTAATTAACAAAACGTACAAAAATTATTAATTTTAAACACACACACACATATCAACCCTTCGGTATTGATGTTGATGTCTTTTATAAAACTGTAGTACAACACTTTGCTCTATTGTCACTAATTTTCGCAACGTACGCGATATAACGATTTGTTCCACACTTTAGTTTTCATTATCGAAGTTTTCATGCAGATCCCTAATGTTTTTGAAAACATTCTATCGCTATATTCATTAGTGATAATGTAGGAGTCTAATGGTAAAAGAATTTCAAATCGGTCCCGTTTGTATATTATTGTAAAGTTTATTTAAAATCCACACAAGAGGTTTTGCGTGAAAGAGTAACAAACGTCCATTCATAAATTCATTCATAGTCATAAAGTTGTTCCTCGTTTATAATATTAGTAAGATTTGCATACCACCAGGCAGTATATAGAACATAAAAAAAACCTATTTTCTCGTGTAATTTCAACATATCGTCAACAGTTTTTTTTCTAGTAGTACTTCTTATTTGCTTATGGATTTTTTTATTCTGTTATGTTTGCTTCTCAAATTTTTAACGGAAGTTTTTCACCTTATTTCGTTTCTAAAATACGCATACGCGGAATAAGCGAAAACAGAAATTACTTCTATGAGACTTTTTCCGATCAGATTTTTTCAAATTGATAAATGCATTGGAATAAATGGTTGAAAATATAAAACTTTGAAGTCGTTATTCCAAAATATTAAACAGATTCGTTTATCTCAAAATTTGTATGTTTTTACTTAATAGAGTGCATATAATCAAGTACCAAAATACTTGAATTAGGTAACTTAATATTTCTTGGGTTTGAGAGGATTTTTGTTAGATGCTACAATTATACTTTTTTATGATTAACGCCTAATGGGTAATGGTGCCTTGAGGACGATGGATCTAGGGTTTAGTACGTGATGCGGCGTCATCTTCATTTTTTAAGGAAGTCGTTACAATTTTAAGATTAAGTGCTTAATTTACCTTAGCGATTTGAATGATGCAGACTCCTAGATTTACTGAGATGACGACCAAATATATAAACATGGATGCTGATATTAAAGAGTTGAACTTCTTCTGATATCTAGAATTTTAAAAATGATTAAAATCTATATTATGTTAAATATAATTTATTATACATACATATAGACATATAGGTTTTTGCTTTGAAGGCATTATAGGAAAATTAGAGTTACGAATAAATGAAATACCAATAAAAATATTATGAAAATAATATTCATGGCACCCAGCAAGGTGTGGTAGATCATCGAATACAACATGCTCGAAGACTAAGTAGCAAGAGTCACCTAAAATACGTTTAGTAACAAGCCACGCCATTCCAAAGGACTACGATGTCTGTAGTTTCAGCGACATCTCAAACAATCTCAAAGCAAGTTGCTTGGCGGCTGAATTCGGTGAGCCAGAGATACCCTTGCCTATGATTTTCTACAACGGCTTCTTTTATACCATTCTTATGATTATCATATTTTTACACTTACTTTATTAAATCTTTGTAAAAAATATGGCATTTTACAATATTTTCATGACTTTTAGATCTACTAGAGAGATCTATAGTCTGTACACATTTTAGACGAGTGATCTTCAGTTGTCCAGCAAAAAATATCATCATGGTGACTACTAATGTATCCCATGTGATGACATATGCGCTCACTGTAAGACCCAATACGGTCTCAATGGCCATCGAAGCATAATATCCTGGAGGTTCCCAACTGAACGGAGTGTAGCCATCAAATATATGCTGGTAAATGCTAGTTCCATTTTCGACAATCTGATTGTACTGGTAAGGTTCACTAAATATGCTGAAATTAGAGAAAAAAGCCAGGCCCCAGAAGAAGTAGGTAACGCGGCGACTTCTTTTTATATACTCTTTTAGTATGACTTCATATTCTTCATCCTTCTTGGCCAGCTGTTTGCGTTCTATGGATGACATGAAGTCGATAAATTTCTCCCATTCTTTGCAATCCTTTCGAAAGTAGCAGCTCTTCGCTATTCCCAAATGGAAAGGAGCATATTTGAGGATCAGCATAACAGAATCGCTATTCATGCTGATTAAACATTTAACATACTGACTACAGAAAAACAGAATTGTCACATAAAAATGAAATTGTTTGAACCTCTTGAAATTTGAATTTTTTGGACGCCATAAACCTATCAATCCTAAAAAACGCAGGTGTGGGCCTACTGAAGGATATCTAGGATCTTCAAGGAATTTTAGGAGACCTGTGGTACAATCGGGCCTATTGCTCGAAACCATTTTCATAACTGGTGCTTCTTCGAATATTTCTAGTAATATTGCCGTGGTATGTGTCTGAGCGCATATATATAGATACAAATTAATTGGTGTGGGAGTGACTAAGTGGATATTCAGTTCTTATGAATATTTTGTGAATAATAATAGACTGCAGTGATTGTAGCAATTAATAGGGCCGTAATTTAGCAGGTATCTATTGTAATACTAGTAATCTAGGAACGTAATTATTTAGAATAAAAGTGTTTCTATGCTATAATACGTGTTTCAGAAAAATATAGCGGGTATTTCGTTTGTTACCAAATTACATACTTGACAAATTAAAAGAATTTTATTTATTTATAGGTCACTAGCTGTGTCCGCAAGTTCACCCACGTTAAATTTTCAATATAAAATATATTCTGATGCATATATTACTGTAAGGTTTCATTAAAATCCGTTCAGTAGTTTTTGTGTGAAAGAGTTAACAAACATCCTTCGGAGAGTTTAACCAGAGATAAGATAACATTATATAGTTTAATATTCAAACATCTACGTCCCATTCAAATCTGTTCAGTCGTTTCTTCGTGAAAAGCAGACAAACAAACTGTCAGACAGACTGACTTTCACAGTTGTAACGATAATTTCAATACTATTGATGAGAGACCAAATACAGAAAATAATATCCAATATACATTACATTTTATCTATAGGTAAAATAATACCTACGGATCCCAAGTGATACGTGGTTGTACGTTGGTACGTTGGTAACGTATATAATAGCCAATGACGGCATTTTGCATTTATCTTTTATTTATTGCGAAATTACTAGAATAGAATACAGTAGAATTCATAAGTATTTCGGACTCAATTAGAATCATATCATCTTATTGTCATCATAATATGTTTTAAAAAATATATATTTACATAACATTTTTTGAATATATATGTATTAATGAAATGATTCTCACGCCTGCACAAACGGTATATGCTAGTAAGGCACCAGTAGAGAATGACGAGGTTGAGGTCCGGTCAGGACATTGCGACAAATTTATTTTATAGCCCAAAGCTTTAAGAACGTTATATTTAGTACCTAAAAAAGTCAGAGATAGCCTATGCGAATAAGAATAATACGGACAATAGGGTGGGTCTGGGATTAGACTGGATGAAAATAGAAACTGAGTTGTTTTATTTTTCTACAGCAAAAAAAAAATACAATAGGTATAACAAGTTTTATTTATCTATCTATATTACGTTATTTGGCCTATTGTCAGGTGCCACTGCGACCTGGACAGATCTATTGTGCTCGCCCTTTTTCAAAGTTCGGTATCTACTCTACTCTCTACTCGTGAGAGACAAGAATTGAAGAATATTCTTAGAGAGGTTTTTATCTCCTCAGGATAGAGTGTATACTATCCAAAGGAGATGTTACGTTTATGTATGACTAGTAACCACATAGGATAGGATAGGATACCACATAGGATCATACATACGATGTGTTTCTACTTCTGCTTGGCAAAATCTGCAGATTGTTGTTAAGCTAAGACCTAATTTCATCAAGTGTTTATTTAATATCCCCTACGGGGTAGGGAAAGAAAACCGTGTGCTGAAATATTTTATTATTAACATAAAATTAACATTTGTTTATAGGTAGGTTCTTTAGTGTTGCGCAGATGGCGGATGTAGTTAATGTAAGTAGTTTAGTGAACAGTCTCAATGGAATTTCGGCGTTGTGAAGTTTTAGTAAGGGTATGTACCCGCTGTGGGGTGCGGAATCCACTCAGTTTCATTTTGAAGAGTAAGCATTTGTTTTTAACTATAGCGCATTAAGTAATAGTAAAGTAAAAGGTGGCAAAGTCTTATTGACTCTTGAAATCTTAAAAAGATTGCTTTGAAAGAAGCCGCGTCCTTGTTTTATATTTATTTCATTATTATAGTGTCTTACGTGTGCCACCTACCTATTCTATGTACATAAGTCCTCTCTTCTAGGTTGTCTGTAAGTAATTACTTATAATATATATAAGACCGCCTTTTGTTATTACTTTTTTATTTATTGGTCCTACTTTTTCTATTTACTTTTACACAATATTTTTTATTATTATATATTATATTAAGAATCATGTATCCTGTAATATATTCCGAGCGACGGCTGTAGACTCCCTCTCTCTACCACGCCGAATTTAAATATAATTAATTCATCACAACCTCGACAGGTGAGCTTCTGACTACCCCATCTGAGATAACAGTCGTCACGATGTTTTTTTAACACAGGCTATTTTCAACGCGGGCAGTACCGCTATATCAAACGAGATAGTATTTGTTTACTTTTTAGTTTTACAACTGTACCACTAGATGGCGTTAGTACGTGGTAGTAGTTTTTTTCCATTGACTAAATCTCAATGTTAAGATATCCGCATGCGTCGATATAAGCATTTGTTAATTTTTCTAATATAAAGAGAACAACCCCTATGGAATTATTTCTGTAGTTCAGTTTATCAACTACACTAATCTTGTTACACGCTCGAAGATCCGTAGTAGATTATATAGTTCTTAAATACAATTATTCGTAGCAAATCACAATGAAAAGACCGCTCTGTTTATATCATCTTATGGTAGGACCTCTCGTTTTGTCCAGATAAGATCAGAGCCGGAAATTAAGAGGAAATTGTATTTGTTTCTTATACAGTGCTGTCCTCCCAATAAAAGCATCATTGCCGCCATTCCGTAATTTGAATTAATATTAGATCCTATTCTTATTTGCTACTTTATGTATATTAAAATCAAGATTATCACTTATAGCTACATCTTCTACTCTAAATAAGGCACTAAGGTACGAATACCTAGCTACAATTTTTTAACTGTGAACCAAGTACCTAACAATTTTAGATAGGTGAGATGACGTATTACGTAGTTAAGTTTATAATTTACTTTTGTACTAAGATACAAATAAGAACTATTATCTATCTAATTTTGTAACTCTTAATTGTTTTATTTATACATTTATTATTGGAAAATTATCTACCTATTATTTTTGTTTTTGAGATCATTGTATGAGATCATCAGAGCATCGGTATTAAGTTTTAATTTCATAATGGTCAGTCTGATCGGAAGCTTCTGGACGCCCGCATGATAATATGATATCGATGGACATTTTTGTGCATTGGAAATTATAATATAGAATATATCATATCTAACGAATGGCTTCAAACCGTTTTTTAAGCTATTTCTCTGATCGTTAAGTATTAGTATTACATTATATTACTTTAGTTAATTCTAGTGATTACTTGCTCAGTGACTAAACGCAGTGGTTATTTGCCCAAAGATATAAAATTGCAGCATATTGAAATTGCGAAGTGAAGTAGACTAAGAACATTCTAATAAATTCAACAAATGTCTATATTTTTAATGGGTAACAAAACGCGTCGTTAGAATATTGGCTGCCTATCTATTTTTTTTAATAATGCTTTATTCATGACCATTGATACACTGCATGTCTATTTTCAACGAGTGTTGCCACTTTAGTGGTTTTATCAGTAAAATTGGTGAATTTGCAAATACGCAAGTTTCAAGTAGGTATGTATTATTACTTGATTTAAAAACGGCGAAAATGATGATTACAAATTATAAATATTTCTAAATTAATTATTAAACATAAAGAAAACTAATGAAAACATGATCGATTTCATTGCGTAGTTAAATACATACCAAATTGATTGACGAGCTACGGGACCATGGGATACCAATCAATCATATTTACCTTGAAAGCTGTATTTATGAGACTATTTTAATCCTATACCTATCACTACTTTTTGACTTTGAGCCAAATTAATTAATTGTATTTTTATTGCTATATATAATGTCAACAAATGCACAAAAAGTAAGATTTTATTTTCATAGTTAATCTTCAATTAGGAGGCTAATGTACAATGTTGGCAACACTACTCCACACACGGCTGTCAAATGAGTCGCTTCAAAATTTGAAACTTGTCGCTGTGACGGTTACGTATAAATACGAATTCAAACGACGGTTTACTGTTTACAAGTTGTGGCAATTTTTATTAATTAACACTAATATTGTGACTAATCATATAAATGTGACATCGTGAAACCGTTATAACGTATTTGTGGTGCAGACTAATTTGAGTTTTGAGGACGCCAAGTGTTTTCTATGATACAAATTTTGGACAGCGTCGGTAAAAATGGTGAAAATAGATCGAGATCGGCCGACTGTGGGTCTTGTACCTTCGCAGAACGGTTCCACGCAGAATATGGCAGCTAATATAAAAGTTGTGGTAAGGGTGCGGCCCTTGAACGAGAAGGAACTTGAACAAAACGGTCGTATTGTCGTCGACGTCGTTGACGAGAAAATGCTGGTGTTTGATCCCAAGGAGGAAATACGACCGTTTTTCTACCAAGGAGTTCAGCAACCGAATAAGAATTACTTGAAACGCGCCAACAAGGAGTTAAAATTTGTTTTTGATAATGTTTGTAGTCAGAGTGCAACTAATAGGGATGTGTTTGAAACCACCACGAAGGATATTCTGACCTCACTGATGGAGGGTTACAACTGTTCTGTGTTCGTCTATGGAGCCACTGGTGCAGGGAAGACCTTTACTATGATTGGCAATAATGAACATCCCGGTATAACATACCTGACTATGGAGCATCTCTTCTATATTATGAATTCATATGAAAAAGAGCGAGAGTTTGATATAGGTGTCTCATATATTGAAGTAAGTTTAAATAATTGAGCCTAAATATGACATAACATTATAAGTGTTTTCTTAGATTTAGTCAGAGGCAGTGTTTACTCTTGGTGTTATGGGGAATTTACTTGTTAACAATTGAGAGTGCAGAGAATGGGATTGTTAGTAATGTGGACTGATGATCACATTGCCAGCAAAGCATAAATATACGTGCTAGCAATGGTCTGTTTTGACCTCCACACAGTTCCCCCTGAATACCATCATGATAAATTCTTAATGAATTTGTCAGTATGGCCTAATTGACTTGACCTCATCTTCATTTTATCATTCACCACTGGTGTCCCGCCATTGTATACTGTTAACTCAGGCATATGTACTATTTCATTAAAAATAAATACTTGAAATACATTCTGTATAACTTTCATGTTACTTGAGAATCAGTCTGAGATATTTATTAATTTATTTTTAACTTGTGTAAAAAATGTTGTACCTGCAACATCATCCGCATGGAATTTAACTTTATTTTTCTAAAATAAAAGACTTTTCCTTATTACATCACTACTTGCCAATAAAAGTCCTGTCAAAATCGGTCTAACCATTTCAGAGATTAGCCGGAACAAACAAACAGACAGACAAAAATTGTAAAAAAAATTGTTTTGATGAATATACTGTATTTATATTCATATGCATGTAGTAAAAACAGTTATTTCAATATTACAAACAGACACTCCAAATTTATTTACATGTATAGATTATTTCCTTTATTGTGTGGAATAAAGAAAAAAATTCAGTCTTATTGCTAAGTGAATTATTCCAGACTACTATAGAAGTATACTACGACAATATTTAATTTGGTGATGGCTAGATATGAACTCCCTACCTCATAGGTATAATCAAGGGTAGTAGACTACAGCACTTTGTTACTTATTTATGTTGATATTTTGAAAAGGTCTATAAGCAGAATAATTTAATTAATTGACAAGTATTCAACTGTATTCCAAACTTTTAAATGTGTCTTGCTATGAATATGATACATTCTAATCTATAATCTACAAATTAATAATAAATGAATTAAAATTAACTTTTATTTTATAAAAAGTGTAAGTCTATTTATAAAATAATAATAAAAGTTAATTTGACAATTCCACTAGGTAATATGAAAAGATCTCTTATAGAAAAGTTCTGGGCTTGTTTTACATTATAAAAAAATATTTTAATACACAATTTTTACTTTTGTTGATAATTTTTTTTTACAATAATGGTGAATATTATGCAATTTGCATCAAATTTAGTTCTTACTTTAATAAATAAAAACTGCCTACCCCAAGCTCATAATATATACACAACTTACCTTGGGTCTAGATGGAGCTGCATGAATTGTCCAGGTATATTATATCTTCTTAATATAATAATAATAATATATTAAATGTGAACATTTGTGAGTAGATTTTGATGAAACTTTATAGTAATATACTTTATTTATATTTTATATTGAAATTTATAACATAAATTATATTTAATTTTTAAAATTCAGGTGTATAATGAAAATGTGTTTGATCTATTGAAACCTTCAAACACACCACTACAACTAAGAGAAGACTCAAAATATGGTGTGATGGTAGCTGGTCTCACACTGAACAATATTAAAACGGCCAGGGAACTGCTTAACATGTTGGAGAACGGCAACAAGAACAGAACACAGCATCCTACAGATGCAAATGCTGAGAGTTCCAGGAGCCATGCTGTATTCCAGGTACTTGAGTATACTTTTATTACTGTACAATGGAGAACATATCGCTGATTAAATGCCAAAGGGCTACATGACATACACGGCAAATTTTACAGGAGAGCTCATCAAAATTTTCACTGTGATATTTTTTTTACGAATCTATAAGTGCTATATCTAAGTCTAGAATCATGATCAGTGTCTTTTTTTTAATATAAAATTATAACGATACATAGTTTCAGTTTTTTTTTGCATTGTAGCCCTTTGGCGTTAAATCAGCGATATATGAACATGTATAATATAGTATTAGATACACTATTGTATTAGGCTTAGGCCTGTAATAAAAGTTGTGTAAATAAATAAATAAATGTAATTTAATTAGAATGGATACACCATCAGTGTTATTCAAATTGTTCATATATATTTGTTTTAGAGGCTTTCTAGTATATAATACATTATACAGCCTCTGGTCTAGCGATTTAGCACACCGCCTTACTTCCGATCGTCGCGGCTTCGATTGCTCGCACGGCGCAAACATTTGTCTTCATGAATATGATTGTTTGCATTGGTCTGGGTATTTTCTATCAGTTATCTAGTCCACTACTCATAATACAAGCTTTAGCTAGCTTAACTTGGGTCTATATGGCCTTGTGTGAATTATCCTGAGATTATTTACTGCCAAAAATTTTCTGTATTTGCTTACTGGTCATATTTATTCATATAAATATCTTGCATTAATTAAAATATTAAAACTTAAGAGGAACATGTATAACGCAATTTTTTTTTATTTACATATTTATAACAGAAACATATAGGTATGTAACAGATACTATAAGCTCTGCTTTCTATACCACTGAAAAATTACTTCAACTCAAATGTCATTCATTCATTAAAAGGAATACATTTACAAATGTAGCTAATTACAAATTAAGCCAAATTAAAAATTTTGCAAATATTCCTATCAAAATCGAGTCTATTGAATTTCTAAGTTAATAAAGCAATTATTATTAAGTTAATAAATAATTTAGTTACCCAACATATTTCTGTATTTATTACTGCTACTACTACAATACAGTTTTCATTCGATTGTTTGTATATAGTGATATAAACATTGAGAGCTTTATCTATTCTGGTGTTTCGTTATTTTAATAGCCAAACGGCGATTATAATTATTTTAAGCAGCGTAGCGCCCCTTTAATATACCGCCTCGGGCTATGGTCCGGATTTGCTTCTTCCTCAAAGCCAGCACTGAATATATTATATCAAATCTCCATCCATATTCTCTGTGAATTAAGCATCTACAAATCTTATATAGGTATACTCAATTATTATTCTGGCCTGCAAGGTTTTCATTGTTCTATTTTGCCCACATTTTATTTTTGTTGGACAATTCACACAGCGCCATCTAGTCTCATGCTAAGCAGATCTTGTGTTATAGGTACTAAACAACTAATACAAAAACCTGGCTACTTTTATTTTTTATAAATGGTTACATAATATACAGAGAAGACACTCAGACCTATATAAACAATTATACTCATAGATATAAATGTTTGCGTGCGAGGAATCGAATCGGCGACCTTCAGAAATGAAGTGGTGTGCTAAACCGCTAGACCACCGAGGCCGTCGATCGAGTTAAGAGGCCTTTCACATTTTTTGGCCTAAAAGCAGTGTCTTTGGGGTTCTGGTTCTAAGAAATTAAGAGTCGGATATACATTTTGATTCCTGAATTATATAGATAGATATCTAATCTTAAAAACAACATCTTTGAAATGTTAATTTTCTCTTTGTTAGTCTTCCTAATTTCTAAAATAGTTTATTCAAAAACGCTAAATGACAGAAGTTTGGGGTCGTCGTTCATTAATAAACAAACATAAATTGATATGATATCTTTACTAAAACTTGATAATTACTTTATAAATTGAGACAGCATCGTCCTTTTTTTCATTTTCAACTTAAATATCTAAAAAATTGATCATAATTAAACCCGAAATTTCAACAAAACTTTGCCATAATCATTTCTAATTTTCTCATAAATACAACGAAATTTTTGCATAAAAAAAACATAATAATAAAGTTAATATACTTATAAATTAGAAATATGAAAAAAAAATATAAGTTTCTAAGAAAAAAATAAACAATAATAATAATTTAAAGTTGTATAAATTCCGTTGCGCCAAAAGTAAATTCTTAGTGCTGCGCTAGCGCTCGTCGAGGTAGGACCTATGCCATTTTTTACAACACCGCTAAGATAGACATTGGTCAGTGAACATTAGTATAGAGCGACTAAACAATTTTGATAATTTAAGTAATATTTAATTAATTTTGCTAATATATACTTATTTCTACGAATATTAATTTAAAGTTGTTGTTAAATATATATATATATATATATAATATTTATTTTAGCATGCCAAGACAAAAGTACAGTTATGCTACAAATAAAACCTACCTACCCTGCTGGACTATGAAAAGCACAAGAGCATGGTATTTCGTCACACTAATGGCAATTAATTGTTAAAATTAAAAAAGAGAACATTTTAGTATTTTTAAAAATAACGCTTATCTGAGAGAAAAATGTAAGAAAATGTAAACCAATTTTACTCTATGTTTATTTTGTAGTTTTTTTTCTAAATTAAAATAGGGTTATTGTTTATAAAAATACCATTATTATTTTTACGTACATTTGTCTTGTGTTATATAGTGTATATCATCTAGTATGCAATGTGGATTGTAAATAAATTACCAAATTATATATAAATTATATTCCTTAATGTTTAGAGATATTTTATCCAATTTTATTTTATTTTACACAATACAGATATTTCTAAATTGCAGCTATTCTGTTATTATACTCGTTGGACTTTCATTACTGTACAGTTATGTCAAATAATTATGCGTGTTTGGGTGAAAAGTCAACAACATTATAAATGTTTTTATTTAGAGACTAGCTTTTAGCTCGCGGCTTCGCCCGCGTGAATCTGGGATATATAGGTTATCGCGCGTTTAAAGATCCGTGTACAGTATTGGGACATTATATATAAACCTTCCTCTTGAGTCTATCTATTCTGTCTATTAAATAACAACGAATCAAAATCTGCGTAGTTTTTTAAGATCAAAACATACATAGATCTATTACATGTGTAGATGATATTTTAACCGGAAATTGAAGCCGTTAAAATGGTATTGGCAGATCAGTTGGAATCATCGGTATTCTTGGTATATAAGCTGGTTGCCCAGCTAACGTACCGGTTATAATGCTCTACAATTAAATTGTCTTTCAATTCTTTAGTAAGCAATATATCCAATGGGACGCCATTGCCATTGCACATGATCATGCTTTTGAGAAATTCCTTCCTCAAGTTTGAGCATTTAGTGTGGGAAATCACTATCTGTGCTTCCATAAAAATGAGCTCTCAAATTTGTCAGTAGTTTTAAACTTTCAATTAAAGTCCATAAGGGAGACGATGTTAATGACACAGAGAGTCTTTCAGAAATCTCCAGCAAAAGTATAAAAGTAATCCCGCCAATGAGAGCAGAGGTGTGTCTAAGGTCTTTTAAGGTTCTGTCCAAAACCTCTATAGCTGATGGTGATTTCATTACATATAATCAATGAGGCGTCTTATAATAATTTATAAAAAGGTTTGACATTAACAATTAATTATTTATCAAGAATCAAGAATCGGCCAACCAAGAACGAGAAGCTGCAATACCAGCCAATATCATGCGGCGACGTCAATGATGCAGGAACAGCAATGATAGCAGTTGAAGCTTTTTTTTTACAACTTAGAATGGCAAACAAGCTGACGGCTCTCCTGATGGAAAGGGGTAACCGTCGCCTATATACATGAGCAGTACCTGACATGTTCATATCAGCACATTGTTTCCCTCATGCGTTGCCATTCCTGAAAACTCGGGTGTTATTCCCCTGTACCTTGTAAATTCACTACCATATATATACACAGGTAGTCTATATAGATAGATATACATATACACAGATAGTATACCCTGAGAAAGGTCATAGACTACTTTATAGTGCGAAAAAAGTATTGTAAGGGATTAAAAGCGGAGATGAAAGGTTGTATAAAAGTATCGTCATTGTTTAAGTGAAACAAAGAAACTTTTTTAGGTTATAATCTAAATATATTTCCTTTATTTGGTCAATTTCATTATACCACGCTGACGAAGTCACGGACACACCTAATATACATATAAGGATGGGACCTTTAAATCAAAACAAAGCCTTGAAAACACAACTATTATATATAAATAAAATAATTATTTGCTAAGTATAATATTTAGAACAAGTGAATATAGCAATAATGTATCCGACTCTTATAATAAATTATATTGTATCTATTAATAAATAAACTGAATTAATACGTAAGAAGAATTAATTAGTAAATTTATGTTATAGTAATTTCGTCTTCCTGTCCCAATTATTTGTTACTCATATTACTTAAGGTTTTGGCTTTTAGTTGTACAATCGGCCAGCATCCTGACATCAACCCTCTAGGAATAATATAATAAAAAATATGGTCATTATTAGCACTTTGATAATTAAGATAAATCACGTTATTTAAAAAAATACAATAAGTAGTTTATGTTACTTAGTTAAGTAGAAACATATCACATTATTAATTAAAATATTACAAGGATCAAAATGGTTCATACTAAATCCACACCGATTGAGCTACACGGTTATTTGCGTCTGTGTGCGTGTATTACTGTATGTGTGCGTAAATCCATGCGATTAAACCTAAAGTTGAGCGGCATCATTTTGTAATAGGCCTCTTAAGACAATAAAGTATGTAATATCTATTATTGTGTTAGCTGACGAAAGCTAAATGCTAGCTAGCGAAAGTTTCAGTAGAGAAGTGTTAGTAATGTGGACTAATAACCACATTACTAGCTGCTGGTACATTACTAGTAAATGGGTTATTCGCACGCCTTCCCCTGGAAACCATCGTGACAAATTGTTGGTGAATTCACTAGGATGGACTGACTGACGTGACTTTATTGTCATTTTATCATCTTTCTCTGGTGGACCGCCCGCCTATATCGATGACGCAGTGTTTGCGTGTGGATAATACCATTATAATCCATAAAAAAAGATGCGTAAGTAAGTTTCGAAGGAAGGATGATCGATTCTCACACTATTAAAATTAGAAACTGGATGGATTTATATATAATTTTAATACACAAATTGATCAAAATGTAATTTTAAATTGAATACTTATTCGGATTTATGCGGCCACCAGCTGTTTTACGGGAACACAGCTATTTAATGTCGTATTAATTCTTTATTTAGGTCTACGTTAAAATGCGTTACAAGACCAGCAGTCAGTTACGTCTCGTCAAGTTGTCAATGATAGATCTAGCTGGCAGCGAGCGGGCCTCTGCGACTGGGTGTGTCGGCGAACGTTTTAAAGAAGGTGCCAACATTAACAAAAGTTTGCTGTCACTCGGCAATTGCATAAACAGGCTTGCAGATGGCAGTAGATATATACCATACAGGTAAGTTCATATCACATCTTAATCTTAATAATATTATACAAGCGAAGGTTAGGGAGTATGGATGTTTGTTGCTCTTTCAGGTAAAAACTACTGAATGGATTTTGATGAAACTTTACAGTAATAGGTACAGCTTATGCATCAGAATAACACACAGGCTATATTTTTTTATTGAATTTTAACGCGCGGAAAACCGCAGGCACAGCTAGTCTATAGTAAATCACATCTTTCTTCTTACTAATATTATAAACGCGGAAGTTTGTGAGTGTGGATGGATCGATGCATATTTGTTACTCTTTACGACTTGAAACTGTATAATAATATAACTTATACATTAGAATAAACACAACACATAGGTCACAAAATTTTGATGCGGGTGAAACAGTGGGTATAACTGGTAATAAATAAAATAAAGCAAAGTTGTGTTTTTCGTTGGTTTCTACGTTTACTTCTAAGCCTAGGCTCACATTATTAGGTTCAGTCACGAAGACGATGCCGTGGTGCAACGGGGTTTATTAGTTTCCTCCATTAGTTGAATGTACGCGTTACTAATAGGCCATGTACACACTACACACTACGAAATAAACTTACTAATAAATAGTACAATTATTTCACCGGTATACTCACTACCTACATACATAAACAATAAATTATGTAACCACACCTCATCACATGATATGTAACGCTACAGTGGTGAGGTGATAACCACCGCGCTACAACCCTTTTAATATTTTTTTTCTTACAGAGACTCGAAACTGACACGCCTCCTAAAAGATAGTCTTGGTGGTAACTGCAAGACTGTAATGATTGCTAATGTGTCACCTGCACATATCAGTTATGAAGATACATATAACACTCTAAAATATGCAGCGAGAGCTAACAAGATACAACTGAGCATCAAGAAGAATATTGTGGACGGTGATATGAGGTTGTCGCAATATGTCAAGATCATTGATGAATTGAAGAAGAAGGTGAAGGAGTTGGAAGCTAAGCTGTCATTGTCAAGTGTCAAACAGGTGGTTCGGGAGCCAGATGCAATGAAAGAAAAAGGTTAGTGAAATGATATATTTATAACGGTTAGTTATGAATGAGAAGGGAAGACAATTATTCTATGAATTTGTACAAAGCAATATATTGAGCATAGTGCAGGTGGCTGCAAAAAAACATTAAAGTGCCTGTTAAAAATCAGGCATTTAAATTATATGATGCACCAATTTGCACCAACAGTTGATGTTAAACATATTTGACTATATGTTATCGTAAATAAAAAACGAATATCTTAGACATATACTGTATATTGTACATGATAATGTTGTATATAGCGCGCCTGGAGTGGAGGCGGCGGTTGTCGGAAGCCGAGAAGATAGTATGCGCTGCGGAGAGTTCGTTGCTGTCGTTGCTGAGTCGGCAGCGCGTTCTGGCGCTCCGCCGCCGTTTACGGGCGCGCGCGTTCGACCACGTGGCCCGTCTCGCGCACAGATCCTCCTGCGACACCCTCGACCAGGTGAGAGACCTAGCATTCTATCTTCTGTTCTGGTTGTATTGGTAGGTCTTTCTTATTCACATGATGATGGGACATGACACAAAGATGGATGGCCTGTGTGAAAGATGATGTATAAAAGGAGGGTAAAGTCAGATATATCAGCTGATAAGGATTAGTGGAAGAGGATGACATATTGCGTCGACCCGAAAGCAGTAATGATATAATAATAATAACACAGGAAAATTCACAGTGCCATCTAGTCCCAAGCTAAGCAGAACTTGTGTATTATAAACAATCATACTCAACAAACATGATTATAAATGTTTGAACCGCACATGCAATCGAATCCGCGACTATCGGTACTAAGGCGATGTGCTTATACCGCTAGAACACCAAGGCCGTCAAATGACAGAAAAATAGATGATGCACTGTGTATAAAAAGAAACAGTAAATATGTGAATAAGGAAAGCGATCACGTTTTATTTATATGTTATGTCAAGTATTTTTATATTACTTTACTTATATTAAAATTAAAGTTTCTTTCATCATGTTCTTTTAGGTTGATGTATATATAATTCTTTATTAATTTGAGATAAAACTTTCCCTTTTTATTAATATATATTTTGTCCAACAAATCTGTTTATAGTCTGGAAGACTTGTTGCATTAAATAAAAACAAAAAAGACATATTATTTGTTATTAGATGTGCAGTGAAGATATACCTCGGCAGGAGCGTGCAGCGGAGAATTACATGAAGCAATCGGCCAATCTTGATTCCAAAGTATTAGTTGCTTGGACAAATTGGGTCGAAAATAAGAAGAATTTGGAGCAGTTATGTAGCCAAGCACTATCTGAATACCCAGAACTGACTGATTATGTAGACAAAATAAAGATGCAAAGTGAAATCAGACATGTCAAAGCAAGAGACGATATGAGATACAAATTATTGTGCATAGAAAATGATGAGATAAATGCCTTCACTGAATACATGAGTGACATGCCCAGTATGCTAAAAAAATTGTATTTGACCTTAAAAGGATATGATAAGGCACCGCCAGCGCTAACCGCTGAGTATTTAGAGATTATGAAGAAAGCAAAACAGGCTAAAGGAATCTCGTGGTCTGATAAAGAAACAGAAGGTGATTCTCATTTCAAATTTATAGCAAATTTAGATTTAGACAAACCATCGACATCTCTAGAGTATAATTATCCTAATAATGATGACGTAAACGCAACCATAGATATAGTGACTGACAGTGAAGATTTGACCGATGTTGAAAATAAAGAACCAGTTAGGATATGCGCAATTAAACGTAAAGGCACTCCTATAAAACTAGCGAACAATGAAACTATTGTTATTAACGATTCCTTTGAGAATTTAGATATAACAAGAAATTTAAATTCTGCTAAAAAAGTTAAAAGGGAGTATGAAATTGCGTCTGAAACGGAGAATTATATTGACCCTAAAGACTTGAATTCGACATTCGTTCTGGGTGGTAAGATGGAGCCGCTCCAGAAAGTGAAACCTGAGAAGATAGAACAGAAGGTGGAAGTGAAAAGAGGACTTTCTGACAGGACTAACACAATACAAAGGACTGTAACATTCAATGACAAAGGTAAGAAAAAAAAAGTTTTTATTTCAACTATTATAATGTAACAATTATGAATGATGTGATAATTTATCAAGGATATTTTTCCATCATCAAAATATTCGTCAGAAACTGAAATTATCAAGTCAGGCTGATCAACCACTAAACCATACCATATAGAATCAATAAAATAAAAAGTATTCCTGTATTAATATAATTTTACCCACCATCCTGTTTAGTATACAGATTTAATTAAGAAGAAATAAAAAGAAACATATAAGTATGTATAACATTAAACGAATAATTTTGAAGTAAAAATTCATTGGTTTCTTACTCTTCCAACAGCCAAAATAGTGAAGCCTGTGGTAGGCAAAGCGCTACCATTACGTCGTCCGCCGACCGCCGGCTTCGGGTCCAGCCTCTCCCGCGATGGTACTCCGTTGCAGAGAAACATACAAGGTAAATAAACAATATTAGTAATATTCTAAACTAGCTTTTCCCGCGATTTAGTCCGCGTGGAATTTAACTTTATTTTTTTTTAATAAAAGTAGCCTAAGTTACTCCCTATTACATCAGCTACCCGCCAAAAAAAGATGATAGTTGGCTGAGACCGAGAATTATGATAGCGTGATTATGTGATAGCGTGTATCACTTACCATCAGGTGCGCCATCAACTAGTTTGCCATCCCAATTTCATATAGAAACATTGTCAAGTATTGACACAGATATTGGTGCAATACAACTCTTCAAATTCTTTTAGTATGACCACCTGGGAAGAGAACCCTGTAGTATTTTATGATAGTATATATACATATTTAATTGTATATGTTGTACGTATTGTGTAACTAAATAGTAAAGGTTTTTATTGATACTCCTATATTTTTGTTTTATATGTATGTGTGTGTGGGGATCTTTGTTTGTATATGTATTTTGTGATTTATTTGTAATCTGTGTAATGTATTGGGTATGTGTGTAACTACTGTGTTTGTTGGAAAACTATCATACTGATGTTATTATGGTTTGAGTGGACGATGGACTTTTTGCTCCCGTATGACACATTTTATCCTTATTACATATATGGTCTCCGTTAAAAAACTCAATTTTATCTTTAACGCAAGAAGTACGATAAAAATAGTCTTTCGTTTACACAGATCTTTATAATCAGCGGCAAATAACTTGCACAAATAATCAACAAACAAAATTTGTGCAGCACAAATTTTACATCGTAGTATAAAAAAAAATTACTTTGTAGCTTACATGGTATTAAAAACGTGTTCAATTTATATGTCGTCGGCCTCGGTGGTCTAGCGATTTAGCATATCGCTTTACTTTGATTGTCGCGGGTTCGATTCCTTGCACGGTGCAAATATTTCTATGAGTGTGAATGTTTGTATCGGCCTGGCTGTTTCAATGTATGTTAAGTATGTATTTATTTAACAAAAATATATTATTTATTTATACCCATAACACAAGGTCTGCTTACCGTGGGACTAGATGGCGCTGTGTTAATTGTAAAAAAATATATCACCTTATTTTATATGTTCTAAACCACTAACAATTCCATTCCATGTGTCCTGTGACATCACTTAACAAACTAACAGACCAAAACCGTCTAAAGACGAATGGCAATGAAAGATCAGTTGGTTATAAAGCAGTGAGGGCGCGCGAACGAATGCAGACACACCCGTACTCCAGGCCTGTCGGGCTGCAGCACAGGAAGTGATCTTTGTAACCGGCATGGATACTTCAACGGATGGTGTGGGCAGCTGTTTATATAAAAATACGTCTTTAAAAACGTCAAAGGCCATTAATAAGAGAATATTAGGTTATATTAAAGTTACAACCATATGTATAACTAGCTGACCCAGCAACTTCGTCTGCGAGACACTTACTTGACATTTATTATTACATTTCACCCAATTTTTAAATATCTTTTTAAATTACAGCCTGTGTTATTCTGATGTATCAGCTACCTTATTGTAAAGTTGCATTAAAATCCAGTCAGTAGTTTTCGCGTGAAAGAGTAACAAACATTCATCAATCCATCAAATTTTCGCGTTTATAATATAAGTAATATTTGCAGGACATTGCAATTTTAATTTATAAATTTGGGTTTCATATTTAAATGTGATACCACATTTATACAACAAAAACATTAGAAAAGAACAGTCATATATGCGTATAAAATGTGTTGTAAACATAGTGTTTACAACTAGTTTTATACATTTGAAACATATATAGAACACGAGTTTTGTATGTGAATATGTCACAAGTGTTTATACCCAAATGCTTGTCCCATTATGTCTATGATTTTTGTAGAAATGGCCCTTGTGGCCTCTATCCGTAGACCCTCAGGGTCCGCATTAGATGATGAAGTGCCAGCTAACTTAAATAACTAATTTAACGTATGTTTAATATTTCTTATTCCAATAATATACCCTATATTGGAATTTTAAATTGTAAATCTATTAAATTGTATAACGGTAACTATTCTGAAACTGATTTTGAAACTTTGTAATTTATGGATAAACTAAGTTTAGAATGTTACAAGGTATCATATGTAACACCCAGATTGTAACGACTATTTCTTATTGAATGGGTATTAAGGATTTGAAATGTAATGCAACTGTGTTTTTCACTATATTAGACAATATAGCAGGATATAATATATTATTATGCTCATACTAGTTATAATTGTATTGCTTTTATTGAAAAACTTCATCTACAAATTACGGTGAGCGATGTAATTTTTATATTCCTGACTATAATGGGATTTGAAGTGAAAACTGGACTTTTTTGTTCGTACTAATATTAGGTACAGAAGTGAGTGCTGCATTAGAGTAAACTAATAAAACAAATTTACAAGAATATCGTTTGAGATATATTGCGTAGAATTTGTGAAATAAATGTAACCTATTTAATCCTAATATAAATCCATGGAGTAGTGAAATGTAATCTAATCACGTGATTTACTATTGAATGTTTTTAAATCAATCAAATCAAAACTAATTTATTCATGTAAGAAATTTTAGCCGCTTATGAATGTATTTTTTTTATATTAATATTTTTAAATAAAAAAAAAAATGATTTTATTGAAATGTAACATAACGTTACGTAGTGTTATGATTAACATTAAACTCTTTAACTGTAAACAATGGTTTCAAATTAAAAGCTTGAGGAATTATTTTAATTTCTCAGACTTTGTTGTCCTGTCTTGACCTATGTTAGTTCATTATATTTAGACTAACATATTTGTACGTCATTTCTATATAATGATTTGAACAGATTTAATTGTATATTTCTTGATTACCATTATTAATAAGGTTTAAGTATGGAATGGGTTTAATATGTTTAACTCATCATATCAAATGCTGTTTTTTTATCTGTAATGTATACATCTATATGCATCTACATCATATATACATCTTAAATTAACACACTTCATAACGGTCCAAATCACTTCTGAAATGATTAAAAAACATTTTTAAATACTTAATACCCATAAAAATCTGGAGGCGAAAAAACGGCTTTTTTCGAACTTATATTTGATATAATCATGTAGGCTAGTCAAACGGATATACTTGATAGTTTAGATTTATCCACCTCCGGATTTTATTTAAATAAGTTATTTTAGTTTCTTAAGTTACACATACTTGATTAAACTCTCAGACTAGCGAGTGAATGATCTGTCGGTCTACTCTGGTAACATATCGATGCAATGTCATTCGATTGTGTCATTTTGCACCTTTTGGAATCTTGACTTTTTTCATTTTTGGCAAAGGACTAATACTTGACTTATGCATTAGCGAACCGATATATTAATTTATTCAGTTTTGTCTGCATTACGTTTCAAAAGAACAGTCCTGAAGCGGATTGTAATGAAATTTTGTTTCTAGAGTAAACTGATTTGATTATATTAAAAATATTTTTAATAAAACCATTTTATCGCTATGGCAGGTCTTTTCAGATGTACTAGTAAACCTAACAATTCGATATTGTTTGAGTTTTGTGATTCTGGGTGGATCATATGTTCCTTGTGTAATTTCTTACATGTTTTATCTGACACAGCTTTTTAACTTGATTAGGAAATAAATATTTAAAGTTACAGTGATCTGTGAAATATAAATAAAAACAAATATAAGACCCTAAATGAATGAATGAAAATAGTAAGTGTGGACGTAAACTGAAGATATTGTCTATTATTAAATAAAACTTTAATTATTCAAATTTAAAAAATTTCGATTTTTATTTTAAACTATGCTTTTAATCCTTGCCGAAGGCAATGCTTTTCTTTATATAATATTTTTTCACTAATTTCTTTTTAAAATAAATTGTATGGAATAAGAATTTGGTAGGTCTATGTACTAGATTGTTATTACATAGTTTAGTTTTATACTTCCGATTAAGGTAACTTTAGATTTTGCTAGCTTTAATATTTAAGTAACTTTGTACGTATATAGATGAGATATGCATTTGTTTATTTTATAATTAAATATGTAACTTTATTAATTTGATACCTTTAAACTTAATTTTAGATTGATCCTTACTAATGTACCTTGATAATAATTTTAATTTGTAGAAATATGTGTCTTTTAATTATAAATTATATTTTATTCTGCATTGTTTTGTATATCAGAACAATTCAATCTATGTGTGAACCAAACGTCATTCAAATCGGTCAAGCAATAAATACATGCAAAAAAAGCAAAGCAAAGTGGTTCTATAAACACATTATGATATTTTCATATAATAGTGCCAAGTGTGTACAATCGAATTAAGTTCTTAGTGTTAATATGAATACGGTATGTAATGGAATAGATTAGGTAAAATTATTGTGACTATAAATAAGTATGACTGATGTATTTTAAAGAGTTTTCTATTATTAATATTTTAACATTTTATTGTATTGTGTGGAAGTTTTGATTAAAGAATAAATAATTAATATACTTTTATTTTATTTGTTTTCAGAGATATTACTGTTATCTGTATGAACATATATTTATGGACAATACAGAAAATTGTCATATAGAATACCAATTTATTATTAATAATTACAACAAGAAAAAAAATGATTATAATCTGATTCTCATCATTTTAAAAATGTTATCAATAGCATATAAAAATATACTATCACCACAGATAACATAATAGACTAAGACAGTATTGAGTATCAACTTGAACGTAAATGTAAATCTTATATTTCCATTTTAATTGTCGAATATGTTATTGGAGAGTACCTGTCTGATTTTTATTAAATAATGATAAGTATCTAACCGTATATTTCATACTAGTTGTGCCCGCGATTTCTCCGTCCTCCGAGTAAAATTTATGTCCTATATGTTATTCTGGTGTATAAGCTATATTACTGTAAAGTTTCATCAAAATCCGTTCAGTAGTTTTTGTGTGAAAGAGTAACAAACATACAAACTTTCGCGGTTATAATATTAAAATAAGATGAACAAACAGACGGATAATCGCATAACTGAATAAAACAAACGCGAAAAGAAACAATTTCTTTAGTTTATTTTTCATTAGTTTCATTCATATTTGTTTCATTAAATGTTTTCAATGAAGCTTCATAGAAAAAAATGGTTGTGTATTGTATTGTAAATAATATCTATAAGTAAATTCTGCTAACAATATATAAAATACCTATATATAAAATGCAAACAGGTTTGTCCAATCTAACATTGTCGTCCAAATTTTTCATTATAATGGTTAACGAAATTACGGACCCCTAATCCTGTTAGTCAAAAAAAAAATTCCCGACAATAAGGTTAATTAAAATTGACGTCAGACCTCGCATCGAGCCCCTAAAGGTGATAAAAAATAGGTCCAAGGCAAGGTGTCAACAAAAACTCCCCACAGTACCGCAAATGAATTGATTCAACGCAATCAATTTTTTCCCGCCTTTCCATCGCGAGCTCGGACCGCTCATTCACTTGGGGCTGATTAAATCGGTCAATCATTCGGTCTTACCGTTCAGTTAACTGGAAAATTGGTAATTAGATGTTGTAGGTGATAAAATGTAGATATTTTGCGTATGTTGTTTCACCAATCCAATTTGTTGGTTAAAGTATGTTTGCTTCATGTAATAATGTAATTCTCTTAGGAAAAATCAATCTGCAATTTCGAAATATCTGAGGGAGAAACAGTAATCTGTAGGTATCCGGGAATTAATCCGGGTCTTTATTTGCATAAAACTAATTACTTATATAGGTACCATTGTTTACAAAGTCGGTCGGATGACAGTATCCGCTGTAACAAAGCTATAATTGCGGGTTTCGTTCACGAAAATACGAAAATAATTATTATTTAGGCTGTAGGCGAAAAGGAATTTGAATGAGTGAATCGTAGAATTCTCAATTTATTTTGATTCTACTGTTATACTTATATATTGAGGTGTTATACTTTATATTATACCTTATTGCGTAGTATCGGCTAAAAAGGTGATTAGGTTTTTGTGCCTTATATTCTATGCGACCGATGCAAAGTTGCCGATGCATAGGGCCACTGCGATTTCTATCTTACTTTAAAGCGCTGACTCTTGACATCGATTTAATACTGGGACTAAAGGATAGCCTAATATATTCCTTATTACCTTTATTGATTAAATACCTAAGTAACTGTATTCTGAACAGGTAAGTGCTACAGTGTGTACTAAAACTATACCATACAAAACGATATGTGTGTTTTGGAGTACCTACAGATATTTGTATTGCGTGTATTGATACATATATATACAATCAGCGATTACTGAAATAACTTATTTTTTTCGGACTCTTGCGGTTGGCCGCAGCTGGCCTTTAAAGCTTCACCGGACGATAGGGGGCAAGTGCATATGGCACTTCAAACCCGCGGAAAAACTTATGGAGCGGCTGAATGCCAACTCCCGCCTGTCGGATACGACTTTAGTCTGAGGGCACCGCTAGGGGATCAAACCTCGGCTCAGACCGTCGTAATTTCGATCCCCGTTTGGATGGGACGGGGGATTGTGAGGAAGCATGCTAAACTGCTCCATCATCAAGGTTGTATGTGTGTACGTATAACCACCACCATGTATTGTAGGTCTATGTATAATTTGTGCAATATATACATCTATATATTTTCAAAATAGTCCTATCTTACCTTCCTGCAGATTCGATAATTTTAATCCATATTTACCTACTCGTGTCTATAAAATGATATATACAAACAATGTATAGTTTTCGCACGTGTATCACGCCGCCCAATTCTTTGATCCACCAAAGAGCGCCCCCAACTCATAATTTATTTACCGGTCGTCTCCTCCAAAACACGTAGATATACCTATCTAAGTCGCTATCT